TCTGAAGTAATAACTCAAGAGCAAGACAGTCATGACATACACACCCTCTCTCTGTTTCTTACAAGAGTGGTTCTGTTTCAGAACTCTTTTCTGTTCTCTTTATCAATTTGTTTATCCTGTGCCAATGCCTCACTGTGTTTATTATTGTAAGGCTTGCTATCTGGCAAGATAAGTTTGCCCTCCAGAAACCAGAAGTGTTCTTGCTGTTGTTTGGCCCTTTGCTCTTTCACGTAAGTGTTATAGACCCCTTTCCTAAAACAAAATTTTCTGTGGAGACAAGCACAGTGGCTTGTAATGCCAGCACTCTGGGAGGCCGAGGCAGGAGGGTTACTTTAGGCCAGGAGTTTGAGACCAGCCTGGGCAACATGGCAAGAACCTGTCTCTACAAAAATAAAAATAAAATTAGCTGGGTGTGATGGTGTGCACCTGTAGTCCCAGCTACATGGGAGGCTGAGGTGAGAGGATTGCTTGCGCCTCGAGGTAGAGGCTGCAGTGAGCCATGTTCGTGCTGCTGCATTCCAGCCTGGATAGCAGAGACCTTGTCTCAAAAGAAAAAAAAAAATTCTGTGGGATTGATATTGAATTGAATCTATAAGTTAGTTTGAAGAGAGTTTGATATACGTCTTCACAGTATTAAGTCTTCTTCTCTATGAACATAGCATCTTTTTCTGTTTATTATGCCTTCTTTAGTATCTCCTGGTTAACTTTTATAGAGTTTTCTGTAAGGGATTTGTGTGCTTTTTGTTAGATTTATTTCAGGGTACTTGATATTCACTGATACTACAAAAAAGTGTGTTGGTTGTTTTTTTTTTTTGAGGTGGGGAGGCAGAGTCTCGCTCTGTCGCCCAGGCTGGAGTGCAGTGGCACGATCTTGGCTCACTGCAACCTCTGCTTCCCCAGTTCAGGCAATTCTCCTGCCTCAGCCTCCTGAGTAGCTGGGATTACAGACACCTGCCACAATGCCTAGCTAATTTTTGGTATTTCTTAGTAGAGCCGTGGTTTCGCCATGTTTACCAGGCTGATCTTGAACTCCTGACCTCAGGTGATCTGCTCCCCTCGGCCTCCCAAAGTGCTGGGATTATAGGCATAAGCCACTGTGCCTAGCTTGTTTGTGGATTTTCTAATATTAAACTATGCTTGTATAACTAGGATAAAGGCTAGGTTGATCCTTGTCCATTATAGTTTTTATAGACTGTTGAATTTGATTTGCTGATGCTTTATTTGGATGTTTGCATCTATGCCCATGAGTGGAACTGGCCTGTAATTTTTCTGTCTTGTAATGTCTTTGTCTGGGTTTGGCATCCAGCTTATCCTTGTAGAATGAACTATTGGGTATTTCCCTCTTTTTCTTTTGAGTAGAAAAGTTTGCATACAATTGGGATTATCAGCTTCTTAAATGTTTAGTAAAACTGAAAAACCACCTGTGCCTGGGGCTTCTTTGTAAGATGATTTGTTTGTATAAGATTTTTAACAATGCCTCTGTTATTTCAGATCTTAAGACTAGTCAAACTTGTGTTTCCTCTTAAATCAGTTGTGAATTTTTTTTTTGCAAAATCATTGGGAAGTTGTTGTGTAACAGTGTTCTCTTTTAAAAACTTTATTTGAAGTAATTTTAGATTCATACCCAGGTTCCCCTAATGTTACAACTGTTAGTATATTTATGAAAATGGGTATATCATTATTAACTAAAACTACAGTTTATTTGCATTTGCTTTTGCACTGATGTTCTCGTTCAATCCAGATCACAAAATCACATTTAGCTATTATGTCTCTATTCTGTGGAAACCTTTCCTTTCATATATGACCATAAAAATGTTAAAGAGTAGTGGTCAGATATTTATAGAATGTCCCTCAATTTTGTTTTTTGTGATGTTTTCTTATGATTAGACTGAGACTATGGATTTTTGGAAAAATACCAGAAGGTAATGTACCCTTCTTATCAGATTATATCAAGGAATAGATGGTGTCAACATGACTTCTCATTGGTGATAACTTTGATCACGATGATTTGGCGAAGACATTGTTTTCATTTTCACCTGGAATAATGTCTTCCTTTCATTCATAATATTGCGTATTCACATTTTCTTTTTTTGATCACTTTTATTAGAGGCGTATATATTTTGTTGGATTTTATTCCCCCTAAAGAACTAACTTTGGCTTTATTTTTTATTTTTTATATTTGTTTTATTTATTTATTTTGAGACGGCGTTTCACTCTTGTCGCCTGGGGTGGAGTGCAATGGCGTGATCTCAGCTCACTGCAGTCTCCACCTCCCAGGTTCAAGCAATTCTCCTGCTTCAGCCCCCTGAGTAAGTGGGATTATAGGCGCCCGCCACCACGCCCAGCTAACTTTTGTATTTTTAGTAGAGATGGGGTTTCACCAGGTCGGCCCGGCTGGTCTCGAACTCCTGGCCTCAAATGATCTGCCTCCCAAAGTGCTGGGTTTACAGGAGTGAGCCACCGTGCGCAGCCCTAACTTTGATTTTAAATGATCTCTAGTATGTTGTTGTTTTCTCTTTCATTATTCTGCTCTTATTTTTTTTCTTTCCTTCTTCTGGGAGACACGTGTTTTTAGATTAGACTGAAATAGGTGCAGAACCCTTGGAGGGGGAGACATTTAGAAATCTTTAACCAAATTATTTTTTATTGTAATCTAATGTATTCACTCACAGAATTGAGCAACTATCATAGAGAATTAAGCAAATATGGAGGTTGAGGTAGGGTTTCTGATGTGAGTCACATCTTTCTTTTATAGTGAATAGAATTCTGGATATTTAAAATTGTTTTCTAGGTGGGAATGTCTGTTAAAGGAAATAAAGAAGTTAGTAATTTAGTCAGCATATTATAGAACTGCTTGTTAGAGCTATCGATCATTTTGTTCTTCTTTATTACCTGGAAAATTTTATCAAGATATGCTGCTTCTCTCCTGCTGTTTAGTTACCCAATGGTAAGTTCATATAGGAAAAGCAAAATAAATGTTTATTTCTTTCCTTTTTAATAACCCAGTTTTTTGGGGTTTTTTGTTTTGTTTTGTTTGAGATGGAGTCTTGCTCTGTCACCCAGGCTAGAGTGCAGTGGCACGACCTTGGCTCACTGTAACTTCCTCCTCCCAGGTTCCAGCAATTCTCCTGCCTCAGCCTCTTGAGCAGCTGGGATTATAGACATGCACCACCAAGCCCAGCTAATTTTTGTATTTTTAGTAGAGACTGGGTTTCACCATGTTGGCCAGGCTGGTCTCCAACTCCTGACCTCAGGTGATCTGCCCACCTCGGCCTCCCAAAGTCCTGGGATTACAGGCGTGAGCCACTGCACCTGGCTGACCAGTTAGCTTTTTAAACTTTACCAGAATGAACTCAGACTTAAACTAGTGAGGCCTACCTCACTTTATTAAACTCTTCTCCTAGTGGCGTATATTAGGTTCCTTCCAGTTTTTCCACTAACACCACTCTTTTTTCTGTTGTGCACGTATGCAGATGTTTGCTTGGGGTCATAGAGTATGTATACTTAGAGTTTTGCCAGTATGTCCTCCAAAGTATCTGTTCTTCCACCACAAGCAGAACATGAGAAAACAGTTCAGATCAGTATTACACCAGATTGAACGTGGGCTTATGTAAGGTCACACATGTGACTCAAGCCAAGGAAATGAGCTCACATGTGTGACCTTATTGTATGAACTAATCAGCAATATCAAGATATCAGGATTCTCTATGAATGACAGAATTACTGTAGCCATGTTAATTCATGTCCAAAAAAAGTTTCCCAGAATATCAAAAGAATCAAAGAGGACTAGAGGGCCTCAGAGGCAGGGAAGGACTCTAGTATGTAAAGGTGATTGCCTGGATGCTTTTCCTTGATGCCTTTCTTAAATGATAGAAAATTCTTACATCCTATATAAAGAGCAAGAAGCTCTTACTAGGGAATGATAATAATGTGTTTTCTGTTGCTCTCTTTGTGACATTAATGCAAAGAAGAAATTATTTTAAAGTAGGTTGGAAGAGTGCGTGTAGTGAGATAAAACATAATGATTTGATTTGAGCATTGGTACTAGGGTCAAAAAAATCCCAATTTAGAGCTAGATTATTTTACTATGGCTTTAAACAAACTTTTTTTTCTATTTTATTTTTCTTTTTAAAAAAATTTTTGAGACAGGGTCTTACTCTGTCACCCAGGCTGAAGTGCGGTGGTGCAATCATGGCTCACTGTAGCCTCAACTCCTCCTGGGCTCAAACGATCCTCCCACCTCAGCCTCCAGAGTAGCTGGGACCACAGGCATGTGCCACTGTGCAAGGCTAAGTTGTTGTTTTTTTTTTTTTTTTTTTTTTTTGTATGGGGTCTCCTATGTTGCCCAGGCTAGTCTCAAACTCAGGACTCAAGGGATCCTCCTACCTCAGCCTCCAGAGTAGCTGGTCCACAGGTGCGTGCCATCGTGCATGGCTAATATTTTTTTCCGAATGAGGTCTCGCTGTGTTGCCCAGACTGCTCACAAACTCAGGACTCAAGGGATCCTCCCACCTTGGCCTCCCAAAGTGTTGTGATTACAGGCGTGAGCCACGGTGCCTGGCTCTATTTCATATTCCTTTAATCAGAAAATCTAACAATCACCTACATGTCTTAATATGATTAAGACATTGTAGTTTGTAGTGAGTGAAATTCAAGCATTCTTAACCAGCAGTATTAAAGTTTTGAATTGATGGGCTCGTATCTACTTTGTTAAAATTAAAGAAGTGTTATCTTAGTACTGGCATAGTATCTCGAACTTTACAATCAGTTTTCCTTTTATTTCTCGAAATGACATCTAATGTCTACGGTTAATAACTATCATGAATATTATCTCAGCTGTAATATGAAAAAAATCGTTAAGATTCATGCATGTACCTTTTTATAGTTCTTTACACTTTGATTAGACCAATGGAATAAGGAGCCATATTTTGGCATACTTTGGTATATTTCCATAGATAATTTATATTCTGAAGAATATTTTGTGTTATGCCTTGTTTTAGTGATCGTGGTGGAGAAGACCCAAACCAGAAAGTAATCCATGGGGTTATTAACTCCTTTGTTCATGTTGAACAGTATAAGAAAAAATTCCCCTTAAAGGTAAACAGCCTCCTTTAAAAATATAAATAATCAGACTTAATTTTTTAAACTGCTTGTTCTAATTTCTTCTAATATGATGTAATTGATTTATTCAGTTTTATCAGGAAATCTTTGAGTCTCCCTTTCTGACTGAAACAGGAGAGTATTATAAACAAGAAGCTTCAAATTTATTACAAGAATCAAACTGCTCACAGTATATGGAAAAGGTAAGAAATAAAACATACTAAATACGTTTGTCTATTTTTGTATCTGGCCTGGTTTTATTTAACATCATTCTTTGTTTTTGGGGGTTTTTTGGTGGAAAAAGATTGTTTATTTAATCATTAACTCTGAGTTACAGTTATTATACAATATCGTTGTTAAGTCATTGCTCTTGTTGTAACATTTTCCTGAGAAAACAGTACCCTTCCAGTTTTCGTCATAACTGATACTTTTTGATAAATCCTGACTGCCTGGTTTGGTTGTCCTTGAAATTAATATATATGCACATTCTTGGCAGAATAATAAACTGGATTTCATGCTTAGTGGTTTGTTTAGAGAATAGGATAAGTGCAGAAGCTCTGTGTTGAGGTTTTTTTCTTCCTTTAAAATGAGAGGAAAAATATGAGGGAAAATATAGTAATGTCTAGAATGACATTTGGATAAGTCACTCTTTTGGTCTGTTAAGTTCTTGGAAAGCTGAGAGACAACCCCACATGAGGTTTTTTTTTTTTTTTTGGAGACATGGTCTTGCTCTGATGCCCAGACTAGAGTACAGTGGCTTGATCTCATGGCTCCCAGACTCAAGTGGTCCTCCTGTCTCAGCCTACCAAGTAGCTGGGACTACAGGCACACACCACCACGCCCAGCAACTTTTAAAATTTGTTATAGAGATGGGGTCTCGCTATGTTGCCCAGGCTGGTCTCAGAACTCCTCAACTCAAGCAGTCTTCCCGCCTCAGCCTCCCAAAGTGCTGGGATTATAGAAGTGAGCCATTGCACCCAGCCAAGAAATTTTAATTGATCACTAAATCAGTACATATTGGTTATCATATGTTAAATTCCATTTATATTTTCTCAGTAGTAGAAGAAAAAAAAGTGATCATACAAATTAAATCACCATATATAAGAGATATTAGAATTTCTAGCCATGTTTTTTTATCTGCAGTGTTGTATTTCAAGCATTTTATTTTGGATGATTTGTGTTAGTTTATGTAGCCAGGAAAGGTCAAGTAGTGTAAGTGGATGAGCTGTCATCCTACATCTGTAGGCCACAAGTTACAAAGCATCAGTGCTTACTGATACACTGTTCTGTCGTCCACAAAGCCCAGATCTAAAGGTCTTAGTTGTTTGACTCTCTTCCTGCTTTTGTTACTAATTAGCTCTGTCCCCTGAGCAAATTATCTGGAACTTTCCCGCCATCAATTAAGTTCAGGTTATACTAGATCAGTGGTTCTAAGCTCTTAGCCCTTATTGCACCTTAGATCTTGTTGAAATCTCTAGATCCAGCCCTAAGAATCGCACACAGATTATCTGTGATACATACACTTTGCTCTATCTGGCTCTCAAAAAGATGCCACTGGCAAGTGCTGGCAGTAGCCCAGATGTCTGTCAGAAGTTGAAAGGATAAGCAAAATGTGACACGTACGTCCTTTGGAATATTATTCATCCCGTGTAGTGAAAAACTCTCAAACCATGTTTTTTCCTCTGCTCTGACATCGCAGCAACGATCATCAGCACAGAAGGCTTCTGTAAACAAAGTTGTGGCTCTTTTCTCCCACACACCAAGCAGCAGACACCAGCCAGGTGTCCTCCAGTTCAACTCTAACACCATCTGCTTGAGATAGTGGCCGATCGCACAGATTGGGGGCTGAGTCTCCAAGACTGCCCTGCACACCCCCAGACACCAGTCACAAGTCTGGGCCTCCAGACTACTGACTGACTGGCTTTCAAGTTGAGGTCCTACAATACACTCTGGGTTCCATTAATTTGCTAGAGCAGCTTACAGAACTTAGGGAAACACTCAGTGTTTACTAGTTTATTAAGAAGGATATTTTAAAGGATATAATTAAACAACCACTTGAGGAGATACATAGGGCAAGGTCTGAAATCATCCCCAAGTGCAGGAGCTTCTGTCCCTGTGGAACCGAGTCTTCTTTGATTTTGGTGGAAGCTTCATGATGTCAGTAGTCTTTCCCCCAGCTTATAGGTTGGGGCTTTCTCTGGGGAGGGTCTTATGACCCACAGTCAGAAAGGTAGGGCAAGATTAGAGTCCTGCCTTGAGGCAGATGAAAGGAGAGTAGGAGAGAAATTCTGTTTCCTGAGACCTAACACACTCAACATTATAACTAAAGACTGTAACTAGGGCTAAGGGAGTTATCAACCAGGAACCACAGAAGAAAACCAATGTACATGTGTATCACAATACCACACAGTCTTAAAAAAGGATTGAAATTATGATACTTGATACAACATGAATGAACCATGAAAATGTTATGCTAAGTGAAAAAAACCAGACACAAAGGGGCAAATATTCTGTGGTTCAATTTATAGGAAATATCTAGAACAGACAAATTCAAAAGGACAGAAAGTAGATTAGAAGTTATCAGGGGAGGAAGATGTGGGGATTTGTTACTTAATGGTTATAAAGTTTCTGATGGGGTAATGAAAAATATTTGGAAGCAGACAATGGGGGTAGTTGCACAACACAGTGAAAGTTATTTAATGCCACTGAATTGCCCATGTAAAAATGGCTAATGTAAATTTTATTATCTATGTTTTTACCACAGTTTAAAAGCACTGATAATGTAATATACCAAAACCACTGAATTTCACACTTTAAATGGGTGGATTATATAATATGTAAATTACATCTCAAGGTGTTAAAAGGGAGAGAGGGGCATTGGAATAAATTATGTTTGGAAAAGAGTGTTTATTAGAAAAGCTTATTTCAGGCCGGGCACGGTGGCTCAGACCTGTAATCGCAGCACTTTGGGAGGCTGAGGCGGGCAGATTACGTGAGTCCAGGAGTTCAAGACAAGCCTGGGCAACGTGGCAAAACCCCATCTCTACAAAAAGTTAAAAAACTAGCCACGCATGGTGGCGTGGTCATCTGGTCCTAGCTCTTGGGACGCTGAAGTGGGAAGATCACTTGAGCCCGAGAGGCGTAAGTTGCAGTGAGCCAAGATTGTACCACTGCCCTCCTGCCTGGGCGACAGAGCGAGATCCTGTCTGACAAAAAAAGAAAGAAAAAGAAAAGCTCATTTCAGGAAATAATGTTGGACCATATTAGCTTCAAGGGCAAAATCCTGGACTTTGTTCTCCATTTAGTTAATTGGGAAATGAGTCAGTACAGCCTTCCTGCCTCCCTTGCTGCCTTCCTCTAGCTTTGGCCTTTCTTTCCCCCAGCGGTTTTACAGCTGTTTGAAGCCCTGCACTGGGGCAGTCCAACTTTGTCAACGTTTCTCTTGATATGCACCTCTCTCCCCTAAGTTATCAGTTTTATTTTTTCCTTCTTTCATCCTCTTCCACCTCTCTCAGACCCACTGTAATTCCTGTTGCATTAAGTTAATTTTAGCAAGCAGGTTAAAGTCACTGTAGTATGCTCTGAATGACTAATAGGCTTAATCCTTTTTATTTGTTATAAAAATAGCCCTTAAAGGATTTATTGTTAACCGAAGTGCCTTTCTTAGCTGATGTGATATGTGGTGAACACTTTTGTCCTCTAGACGAGGTGTCCGACCCCCAGGCTGAGGACTAGTACTGACCTGTGGCCTGTTAGGAACCGGGGAGGACCAGTACTGACCTGTGGCCTGTTAGGAACCTGGCCGCACAGCAGGGAGTGAGCAGCCCCTGTGTGAGCAGCCACTGTGTGAGCATTACCTACCGCCTGAGCTCCGCCTCCTGTCACAGCAGCAGCATTAGATTCTCATAGATTCTCACAGGAGTGTGAACCCTATTGTGAACTCTGCATGCGAGGGGTCTAGGTTGTGCGCTCTTTAGAAGAATCTAATGTCTGAGGATCTGAGGTGGAATACTTCATCTGGAAGCCACCTGCCCCCAACAATGCCACCCCCACTCCGTCTGTGGAAAAAATGTCTTCCACCAAACCAGTCCCTGGTGGCTAAAAGATTAGGGACCGCTGCTCTAGACCCCTTCTTGCCCAACCTGAGTCTATGACTTTGCCCTGAACTCCTGGCTTCAAAGGGTCGCACAATAAGAAAGACAGGACTATGGGACCCTGCTGTCTAGAGCCTCATTTTTATTGAAAATTTCTGATATGCTTTCCAGGAATGATTTTCACTCCTTGTGCCCAGGCCAACTCAGCAGCACTCTCCAAAGTGCCAGGTGTATGTAGTTTCCCGGACACACTTAATTTCAGAAACTCTAATTACACAGCTTCATGTTACAGAGTGTTTCCAAGCCTGTGCGTTTGTCTGTGTATATATTGTTGGTTTGTCTTGAGACAGAAATTAGTCAAATTCTTTGGTTATTTTCCTTATTGGCTAGTTTTTGTTAATATTAAACAGTGTTATTTGTAGCTCAGCACTTTACGTAGGATAAACTTTAATAAGTCTTGATTGACACACTTGACTATGACTAAATGTATATTTACTTTCAACATTTTTATTTTTTATTTTTATTTTATTTTTATTTATTTATTTTTTGAGACAGAGCCTCGCTCTTATTGCCTAGGCTAGAGTGCAGGGGCGCAATGTCGGCTCACTGCAACCTCCTCCTCCCGGGTTCAAGCAGTTTTCCTGCCTCAGCCTCCCGAGTAGCTGGGTACTACAGGCACCTGCCACCTCGCCTGGCTGATTTTTTGTATTTTTGTAGAGACAGGGTTTCACCATGTTGACCAGGTTGGTCTCAAACTCCTGACCTCATGTGATCCGCCTGCCTCGGCCTCCCAAAGTGCTAGGATTACAGGCATGAGCCACCTTACCTGGCCTTATTTTTATTTTTTTGAGACAGCATCTCTCTCTGTCACACAGGCTGAAGTGCAGTGGTGCAATCTCGGCTCACTGCAACCCCCGCCTCCCGGGATGAAGTGATTCTCCTGCCCCAGCCTCCTGAGGAGCTGGGATTACAGGCATGCCCAGCTAATTTTTATATTTTTAGTAGAGACAGGGTTTCGCCATATTGGCCATGCGGGTCTTATACTCCTGACCTCAGGTGATCCACCTGTCTTGGCCTCCCAAAGTGCTGGGATTACAGGTGTGAGCCACCGTGTCTGGCTCCTACTTTCAAAAGTTTTAATGAAATCTTTAATATGATAGTTAACTATCATGCACATACAGTTCCATTTACAAGAAGAGAAACCAATGTAAAATAATTAGATTCATCTACTTGATCTCAATATAATTTATTTTTTAATTTGATAGTTATTCATACAGAGATCACCTGTTCTGATTTTTAATCATCTGTACCCACTTTTCCTGTTACATGTTATGTTGTCCATGTAATTGGATGATGGTGTAGGTAAATGAAGACAAAATGCAGACTCTTTAACTTTAGTTCTTGCTTATAAGACTGGTGGAATGTAGATGACAGCTAGTAGCTTAAATAAAAATTTGAAATGATTTATGGAATGTGGGTTTAAATTGCTTATGTAACCCTTATTACCTTTGCCATGTTTAATTTAGCCATTAAAATTTGGCCGAGTTACTTGCTGATATTACAGATTTTTCCTCATAGTAAAACTTTGTGTTCATGACTATAAGAATATATTTCTGTAGGTTCTAGGTAGACTAAAAGATGAAGAAATTCGATGTCGAAAATACCTACATCCAAGTTCATATACTAAAGTGATTCATGAATGTCAGCAACGAATGGTAGCAGACCACTTACAGTTTTTACATGCAGAATGTCATAATATCATTCGACAAGAGAAAAAAAATGGTAAGTTTCTACCAAACGTGAGTAGAAATTAAATTATACATCTACCTTTTATATCATCTTCCAGTCACCGTTGGTTTAATGCATATTTTAGTAACAGTCTTTAAAATATTTTAAATAAACTTTGACAGATTATTCGGAGTCTCGCTCTGTCGCCCAGGCTGGAGTGCAGTGGCGCGATCTCGGCTCACTGCAAGCTCCGCCTCCCGGGTTCCCGCCATTCTCCTGCCTCAGCCTCCCGAGTAGCTGGGACTACAGGCGCTGCCACCACGCCCGGCTAATTTTTTTGTATTTTTAGTGGAGACGGGGTTTCATTGTGTTAGCCAGGATGGTCTTGATCTCCTGACCTCGTGATCCGCCCGTCTCGGCCTCCCAAAGTGCTGGGATTACAGGCTTGAGCCACCGCGCCCGGCCTGGGCAAGTGTTTTCAAAGAGTGTTCTAAAATCAGAAGAAAAAGTGGGAAATTGTGTTTATACATTTTTATATATTACAAGAGCTAATTTCCTCAGTACATTTAGAATTCCTGATAAACAGTAGGAACAAAGACAAAGACTATAAAAAGGAAATACAAATATTATATAACAAAAGTAATCATTTATATAACATGAAAAATCAGCAATATCTGATTTTATTTTATTTTATTTTTGAGACAGAGTCTCACTCTGTCACCCAGGCTGGAGTGCAGTGATGCGATCTTGGCTCACTGCAACCTCTGCCCCCTGGATTCAAATGATTCTCCTGCCTCAGACTCCTGAGTAGCTGGGATTACAGGCGTGCATCACCACACCTGGCTAATTTTTTTGTATTTTTATTAGAGACAGGGTTTCACCATGTTGGTCAGGCTGGTCTCAAACTCCTGACCTCATGATCTGCCTGCCTTAGCCTCCCAAAGTGCTAGAATTACAGGCTTGAGCCACCGCGCCCAGCCTCTTTGATTTTTTTTTAAAAAACAAAAAACATGCATTAATTTTATAAGGAGGAAAGATAATATGTATGTTTTATTTAATTAATTTATTTTTTTGAGATGGAGTCTCGCTCTGTCACCTAGGCTGGAGTGCAATGGCACAGTCTCGGCTCACTGCAACCCCCGCCTCCCAGGTTCAAGCAATTCTGCCTCAGGCTCCCGAGTAGCTAGGATTGCAGGTGCCTGCCACCACACCCGACTAATTTTTGTATTTTTAGTAGAGATAGCGTTTTTTAAGTAGAGATAGCGTTTCACCATGTTGGCCTCCTGGTCTCGAGCTCCTGACCTCAGATGATCCACTTGCCCCAGCCTCCCAAAGTGCTGGGATTACAGGTGTGAGTCACCGCGCCTGGCCATTAATCAGGTTTTTTGTTTTTGTTTTTGTTTTTTTCTTCTTGAGATGGAGTCCCGCCCTGTCACCCAGGCTGGAGCGCAGTGGCGCGATCTTGGCTCACTGTAACCTCTACCTCCCGGGTTCAAGAGAGTCCCCTGCCTCAGACTCCCGAGTAGCTGGGACTACAGGCATCTGCCCCCACACCTGGCTAATTTTTGTATTTTTAGTAAAGATGGGGCTTCACTATGTTGGCCAGGCTGGTCTCAAACTCCTGAGCTCATGATCCGCCCGCCTCCGCCTCCCAAAGTGCTGAGATTATAGACGTGAGCCACCGCACCCGGCCCCGTGTTTTTTAAAGCAACATTGATTTCGTAGACCCAGGACAATGTAGTCAAAACACAATAATTTTTTTTAATTCCGGAAGTCACTGTCTTGAAGAGTATGATGGAAAGACTTTAATGGCCAGCAAGACTAATTGTAAAACCTATAGTAATTAAGACAGTGAGGCATTGGCACAAGGACAGACAGATATCACAATAAAATAAGAGACCCCAGAACAACCCATGCATATGTGGCCACTTGATGTAAGGCCAAGGTGGCGCTGCAGAGCAGCAGGTGAAAGGTGGTGTTTTCAACACACATTGCTCAGTCAATTGGATGTCCATTTCGGAAGAAAATGAAATTGATCACTACGTCAGATACCATATACAAAATCCATTCACTAGAGTTTTTATCTAAATGTACAAGGTAAAAAAAATAACACTTTTAGAAGATAATATCGGAGAATATCTTCATAACCTTGAGATAGGGAAAGATATTTTAAATAGGACACAAAAAGCCCTAACCACAAAGGAACAATTGATCCAGTGAACTACATTAAAATGAAAAACTTTGGATTATTAAAAGGCCATTAAGAGGGAGGAAGATTGCTTGAGCTCAGGAGTTCAAGACCAGCCTGGGCAACATGACAATATCCCATCTCTGCAAAAAAATACAAGCATTAGCCAGGTGGGGTGGTGTGCACCTGTGGTCCCATCTACTTGGGAGGCTGAGGTGGGAGGATCACTCATGCCTGGAAGGTGGTGGTTGCAGTGAGCCGAGATCCTGCCAGAGCACTCCAGCCTGGGAGACCCTGTCTCAAAAGAAAAAAAAAAAAAAAAAGCCTTGAAAACCACTGGATCATCAGAAGACACTTATAGGGTAATGTAGCTGCAATAGTAAAGATTTATATCCAAAATATAAAATGGCCAAAAAACAGACACTGCAGAATAGAAGATACCCAGATGGCCAATAAACATAAAAAGAAATGTGAAGCAGCAGGAGCTTTTCGAACACTGAAGTGAGAGTATAAATTGATGCAACTACTTTGGGAAACTGGCATTGACCGCTAAGTGGGATATATTATGCATATTTTATGATCCAGCAGTTCTACTCCTAAACGTATAACCACCCCACCGTACCTTCTGACCGCCAGTGCCTGGACATATGTACAAAAAGACTTACAGGAATGTTCATATTATTAGTATTTGTAATAGCTCCGTAAACTGGAACGGCTCAAATGTCCAGTAACTGTAGAATAGTACAATATATTCATATAATGGAATATTATAGAGGAGTGGAAATGAACAAATTAAAGCCAGGTACAACAACATAGATGATCCTTATACACGTTTTGTTGAACACAAGAAGCCAGTTGTGAAAGAATTGTGTGATCCCATTTTTATATATAGTTCAAACTCATCTGTGATTTAGAAGTCACAGCAGTGGTTACCTTTGCAGAGGAGCAAGAGTGTGTGATTGGAAGGAGGCATGAAGGGGACTCCTGGGTGTAGGTAATGCCTATTTCTTATCCTGCGTGTGATTACATAGGTGTGTTGTGTGTTCACTTGTAATAATTCAGTAAGATACACACTTATGGTTTGTATACTTTTCTCTGTATGTATGATGCTTTAATAAAACATTTAAAATAAAACCTACTACACTGAGAGATCATTATTTACCTCCCAGTGTTAGAGATCAAAATGTTTGGTAACACATTGTTGGCAAAGGAACTCTCTGCTGTTGGCAGCTGTGGTTAGAAGGATCTGTCTACAAGATTAAACTTTGACACAGTAACCTCACTTTTTTGGGAATTTATATTGCATATATTCTTGCTCATGTATAAGATTATTGATTGTAACATTGCAATATCAAGAGACTGGAAACCACCTAAATTTCCATTAGTTGTTAAGAAATTATAATATATGCACATAATGGAGTACTGTGCAGCTGTAAAATACATAGAAATGCTTTGTGTACTGATAGGAAAAGACTACTAAGTTAAAATGTGTTCTGAAGCTACAAATAATATACAAAATACAGTACACTGTATAAAAAGGGGCAAAGGGAAGAATATATGTATTCACTTGAATTTGCACAAAATATCTTTGGGAAGATGTTAAATAACCACATCCCTTTCCTGTGGGGAGAGGGGCTTGGGTGGCTGGGAGGTGGGCATGGGGGGCTTTTCTCTGGGTACTCTGCACTTGGATTGTATTCCTGCACTTGGATCCATATATTACCTAATAAATGAAAATATTTAGGAGTTAATCCTCAGATGTCTTTTTCCTCTCAGACATGGCAAATATGTACGTCTTACTCCGTGCTGTGTCCACTGGTTTACCTCATATGATTCAGGAGCTACAAAACCACATCCATGATGAGGGCCTTCGAGCAACCAGCAACCTTACTCAGGAAAATGTGAGTTGTGTGGGGAACTGCAGTGTTTTCCTCCTAATCAGATCCATCGTGGAGTCTTTCCTTTGACTTTACTATTTTGAAAGATGAAAGAAAAAGTCTTACCATGCCAACAAAAGAAATGTCTTTATTCAAATGTTTTAAACCTAGAGCTTGTTGGACTCATTTTGGAATTATCAAATTATTAGAAAGCTATTGATGAGATAGGCTGCTGCTTAGCCATACGGAGGTGTCCATTGAACAGTTGTTAACTTTTCACAGAAAAATAAGCTTGCCATTTCTAAGTAACTGTGTTTTTCTGTAATTGGCGTTGATAACATTGTTTGTTGTCATGGTAGTAGTATTAATCAGCGGTAATATAGACAACTTGTAATTTTCCTCCTTTCCATATTCTGTGAATTTGGTTGTCTAGTAAGCAAATTTAGATTCAAATAATCTTCTGTAAGTATATGCTTGCTGCCCCAAATACCGGAAACAATAACCCTCGTGTCCCTAATACTCATCTTCCTTGAGTACTTTACCAATCACATGACTGTAACAGTTTGTCTTTCCTATCACCAAATCTTGTTATTACTGGTGACGGTTGATGAGCAAGAGAGACGTAACTTCAACTGTTACTATCTCTTCTTAAGTAGAGCTGTTTGACTTAATCTGTAAGGTAGTATCTGTCACGCCTGTAATCCCAGCACTTTGAGAGGCCGAGGCGGGCGGATCACGAGGTCAGGAGATGGAGACCATCCTGGCTAACACCGTGAAACCCCATCTCTACTAAAAATACAAAAAATTAGCCGGGCATGTTGGCGGGCGCCTGTAGTCCCAGCTACTCAGGCGGCTGAGGCGGGAGAATGGCGTGAACCCGGGAGGCGGAGCTTACAGTGAGCCAAGATCACACCACTGCACTCCAGCCTGGGTGACAGCACAAGACTCCGTCTCAAAAAAAAAAAAAAAAGATAGTATCTGTGTGTATGTGTGTAGCCGTCACTGTTCAGGAGCACTTTTTAGAGGCTGTTACCTTAGCGACAGATTGGTCTTTGGCAAGTAATAATTTTTAGTTTTTATGTTCTGCCACAATCATGTGTAAGTTTACTATTTTTTAATTTCTTCAAATTCCTTTTACCACAGTTTTCTATTTTTGTAGAACTATTAGTTTGTATTATGCAGATTTATTACTCTATTATTTGTCAAACTTACTAGTTTATGTTATTACGTTTATAGATTCCATGTCCAATGACATGGGGCATAGAAGCATAGAATTTTGTGTCAAGGCTGGGAGATGGAAACATAAGTGAATACATTTGTAGTAGACTCAAATCCAGCTGACTTAGTTAAGTCTTAGGTAGTAATTTCTTCATGGTTATCTCCATTAAGAGGGAAAACTCACTTTTGCACTATTAGGTATTTCTTCTCTCTGAGATGTGAGGGATTGTCTTGCTGAGTTCAAGGGGTCTCTGTTCTCAGGGTTACTGGCTTTTTAACTCTCCTCTCTCTCAGCCTTCAGTGACTTTGCAGGCAGTCTTTGCTTATATAAGCCTCTATGAAAGTGATAGACCTGGTAGTTCAGGTCTTGTTATCCTTAAGTTATTCCAACACAGTAGAAAAGTATGCTTTTGGTGGGTTCTTCTGGCAGGTACTAGACAGTCTATGACATTAGCTTGTTGTGTTGAATGACAAGCTATTTTCTTTCTTTTTTGTTGTTTTTTTGTTTGTTTGTTTTTTCTGAGACGGAGTCTTGCTCTGTCGCCCAAGCTGGAATGCAGTGGTGCGATCTCTGCTCACTGCAACCTCCACCTCCCTGGTTCAAGTAATTCCCCTGCCTCAGCTTCCCGAGTAGCTGGGATTACAGGCCCATGCCACCACGCCTGGCTAATTTTTTTGTATTTTTAGTAGAGACAGGGTTTCACCATGTTGGCCACACTAGTCTCGAACTCCTGACCTCAGGCAATCCCCCTGCCTCCCAAAGTGCTGGGATTATAGGCGTGAGCCACCACGCCCGGCTGACAAGCTATTTTCTTTCTTTCTTTTTTTTTTTTTTTTGAGACGGAGTCTCCCTGTGTTGCCCAGGTTGGAGTGCAGTGGCCGGATTTCAGCTCACTGCAAGCTCCGCCTCCCGCGTTTACGCCATTCTGCCTCAGCCTCCCGAGTAACTGGGACTACAGGCGCCCGCCACTTCGCCCGGCTAGTTTTTTTGTATTTTTTTTAGTAGAGACGGGGTTTCACCGTGTTAGCCAGGATGGTCTCGATCTCCTGACCTCGTGATCCACCCGTCTCGGCCTCCCAAAGTGCTGGAATTACAGGGTTGAGCCACCGCGCCCGGCCGACAAGCTATTTTCAACACCAAAGTTTTAAATTTTTAAAACCACTTTCTGAGAAGTGTGCATGTGTAAAACATAATTTCCTTGAGGAAAAATTTACTCAAGTCTAATAAACCTAGTAGTTTATACTTGAACCTTTTAAAATGTGGTTTTGTACTTATATTTCATGTTTTTAGATGCCAACACTATTTGTGGAGTCAGTTTTGGAAGTGCATGGTAAATTTGTTCAGCTTATCAATACTGTTTTGAATGGTGATCAGCACTTCATGAGTGCGTTGGATAAGGTAAGTTTTAAATACGTATATACTATATATGTACATAAAGCTCTGTCATTCTTTAGGCAGTTTCAGGATTAGACTCCTAGTATGAGATTTCTGACCTAGACATGGAGATTAAATATGAAATTCAAAATGGAAATAATATAACTTTTAAATTATTAACTGAATAGTAAATTGAATGCTTGTAGAATTTCCCATGATTATGCTATATAAGGGGAATTTTTAATCTGATATCTTCTGGATAGACATGCATAATTTTACAATTTTTAGTACTGATTTTTTTCTTTGGCCATAATACTTAGGCTATATTGAATAATATTTGAAAAGAGAATAGATATGTTTTACGTGAACTTTTGTATACTTTAAAGGAAAGTTACTTACAAGATTGTAAGTTTTTTTTTTTAAGTAGTGTTATTTTATCTGTTCAAATTTTGGTAATGAGTTACAGAGTATCTTGCAATAGCAACAAGATGTATAGATATTTTGTAATTAGAGAATAAAATCAGAGGAGTCCACTGTGTTAGGTGCGAAAATATTAACAAACTACTGGCAATGCTGTGTCGTATGTGGCGGGGTAATTTTGGATGTATGGATTATGGCTTGTATTGAACTAGCTGTACTTTTTCCCTATGGCTGGTGGTTAATTATGGCCTGTTTTTTATGTAGGCCCTTACGTCGGTTGTAAATTACAGAGAACCTAAGTCTGTTTGCAAAGCACCTGAACTGGTAAGTTTGGTGTTTGCTGAAAAGTAATCTTATGAAAAGTCAGTATTAGAACATGAAAACTGAGAATATCAAATTAATTTGGTTTTTGTAGCATTTTTCAGAAAAACAAAAGGAAAATTATCTACATTGTACATAGTTTGGCATTTATGTAAGGAATGCAACATACCGTGTGTCTTTTCTTAAAAAATAATCATTTTACAAAGTTTGGGTTTTAATGTATGTCTATTTTGAAATAATTTTAATACTTTTCATGTAGATTGTTATATCTGAAATCTAAAGGAAGTCTGATGATAAAGTTTGGGTAACCTTTGAAGGAAACTTGCTTACAAGGTTTTTGTAACTTTTTTTAAAGTACTTATTCAATGTCAAAAATTATAAAACCGCTCGAAACTCACCCAGGTGTTCTTTTAAAAATTTATATTACCCATATCAGTTGCTTTATTGGTCAATAAGTGATAATTCGATATTTGACTTGTTCTTTTAAAAAATATACCTTATGATGTGTATTTTATTTAGGTTACACTTATGATTATTACATAAAGCTTTAGAAGCCTGGTGTGGTTGTGCATGCCTGTAGTCCCAACTACTTGGGAGGCTGAGGCAGGAGGATCCTTTGAGCCTAGGAGTTTGAGGCTGCAGTGAGCTATGATGTTGTCCATTGCAATCCAGCCTGGGCGACAGAGCAAGACCCAGTCTCTTAAAAAAACAGTAAAAACTCTGTCCACTGATCTTATCTTGTATCACCACTTTGCCTCCTTTGAGGCATGATATATACAGAAGCACCCTTTGTAAGATTTATTATCAATTTCTACATGAGCTTGCTAAGTACTGTGACAACTTACTGAAGAAGTCGGCGAAAGGGATGACAGAGAATGAAGTGGAAGACAGGCTCACGAGCTTCATCACGGTGTTCAAATACATTGATGACAAGGATGTCTTTCAAAAGGTATGCTGTGAACAAAAAAGTTTCATTTGTGTTTTGGTCAACTTTATTTCTGAATGCTAAATCATTAGAAAGGAAGTGATCTTTTAAAATATTTTTAAATGCAGTTCTACGCAAGAATGCTGGCAAAACGTTTAATTCATGGGTTATCCATGTCTATGGACTCTGAAGAAGCCATGATCAACAAATTAAAGGTAATATAAGTCTTTAATCTGGTACTGTCCTAGAAATTCACTCACAAGCGTATAAAGATGTTCATTGCAGCATTGTATGCAGTAACAGGAAACAATTCATCCGGTTAAATGTATATTTTTATATTCACACAGTGGGATATACAAATACTATATTAAAAGGACAAAATATGTATGCTTATATATGAAGATTCACTGGATAATCAGTATTAACGATAAAAGATTATTACTACTTTAAATGAATACACCTAAAATATTCCTTTAAGTACAAATTTTGGAGTGCAATTCCATTTCAATTTATTTTTACATCATTTCAGCTTGCTTGCACACCGATAAGTGGTAGCAGGTTCTTATTTCTCCTGCGTTATTCAATAAATTTTCCTGCATAGTAGACATTTTGAATATAATATGCACTCCTTTTTTCCTTTTTCTTTTTTTTAAGAGATAGGATCTCACTATGTTGCCCAGGCTGGACTCTAACTCCTGGGCTCAAACGATCCTCCCGCCTCAGCCTCCTGAGCAGCTGGGACAACGGGTGTGCACCACTGCACCCAGTTGCTATGTGCTCTTTTTGAAACCTGCAAAAAAGAAAAAAAAAAGCTTAGTTTTTAATTTCTAAAAGTAGAGTTGGCCAGGTGTGGTGGCTCACGCCTGTAATAGTAGCACTTTGGGAGGCCAAGGCAGGTAGATTGTTTGAGCTCAGTAGTTCGAGACCAGCCTAGGAAACATGGCAAAACCCTGTCTCTACCAAAAATACAAAAGTTACCTGGGCTTGGTGGCTAGTCCCAGTTACTCAGGAGGCTGAGGTGGGAGGATTGCTGGAGCCTGGGACATCGAGGCTGCTGTGAGCCATGATCACACCACTGCACTCCATCCTGAGTGACAGAGCAAGACCCTGCCTCTAAATAGATTAATTACCAGAAAAATAGTAGTGTTAATGAGCTTTTATATTTCAAGATTAGAGATTCAGATTTTCTAACCTGGTAACAACATAATTTTGAATAATTTTAAAGAAATAATTTTCTTCATCACTCAGTAGATGCTATTAAAAATATGCCTAAGTAGACCTTTTTCAATTGACTACTGGCTAGAGTATTCCCAGTAATCATTTATGTAATCTTTCATTTGATACTATCTGTAAACCTTATAAAAGAGCCAGCAGCTGTGGTATGTGCCAATAGTCCCAGCTACTGGGAGAGTGAGATAGGAGGATGGCTTAAGCCCAGGAGTTCGAAGTTGTAGTGCACCACGATGGCTCCAATGAATAGCCACTGTGTTGCAGCATGGGCAACAGTGTCTTTAAAACAAAACACAACATAAAATCCTTATAAGGTATCTTATGTATAGTAATGGGGCGTTTTGCAGTGCTGAAATAAGAGATGAATGTATAAAAAAGTTTTTGTTTATGGGGAGATTTATTGTTCCTAAATAGGTGGATTTTATTCACTTACTTAAAATATGCCTTTAAAAAGAAAGAAAGTTGGAAAGGTTTTGATTAGTTGCTTTGACTTACGAAGAATATATTACTAGTCCTTGGGTATAAGTGTACATGCAAGAACTCTTGACCAAAGACCTAGCAATACTGACACATTCTTATTAACCAATATGACTTATTATTTTTCTTTTGAAGTCATGTATTTTCTAAAACTTTTTTTATAGCAAGCCTGTGGTTATGAGTTTACCAGCAAGCTACATCGGATGTATACAGATATGAGTGTCAGCGCTGATCTCAACAATAAGTTCAACAATTTTATCAAAAACCAAGACACAGTAATAGATTTGGGAATTAGTTTTCAAATATATGTTCTACAGGTATGAATATGTGTTTTACTATGAGCATTTACTAATCATTTCAGGACTTTGATACAAAGGATTCATAAATGGATGCCTGATTACGTTTAGTTCTGTCAGTAGATCGTGGCTTCCAAAGTCCTATTGATTTGGGCTGGGGTGGTAGCTCACGCCTGTAATCCCAGCACTTTGAGAGGCCAGAGCGGGCAGATCTCTTGAGCTCAGGAGTTCCAGACCAGCCTGGCCAACACAGTGAAAACCCATCTCTACTAAAAATACAAAAATTAGCCAGGTGTGGTGATGCGTGCCTGTAATCCCAGTTACTGAGGAGGCAGACACAGGAGAATCACTTGAACCCCCGGAGGCGGAGGCTGCAGTGAGTGGAGATGGTGCCACTGCATTGCAGCCTGGGTGATGGAGTGAGACTCTATCTCAGGAAAAATAAATAAATAAATAAAAGTCCTATTGATTTGGAATGAAATGTGCCATAATAGAAATACTCAAATTTTATCAGCATTTTGAGGAAGAAAAAAATGTTTTAGATGCTTAGATTATTTAATAAATATTTACTTTCAATTTAGATGTTGATCCATTTAGTTTTTTTATTTTTTCCTTCTAGGCTGGTGCGTGGCCACTTACTCAGGCTCCTTCATCTACGTTTGCAATTCCCCAGGAATTAGAAAAAAGTGTACAGATGGTAAGTTTGCAGGAAATGTACTAGAAGACTAAAAGAATTTTAATAATTGTCTTCATATTGTATCACCTTTAATATTTTTTCAAAGTCTTAAGGGTTCATGTGATAAAAATAGATTCACAAATTATAGTCAGTCTGCCCTTTGGGAAGAATGTAAGTTGTTGTAGTTACTAATATTAAAACTAAAATGCTAAGAATGTCATACAGTTCTTTGTCAAACCATGTCTCTTATTCTGAATAAATCTGTCATCTGCTATTAAGCAGTTTTAAATTATAAAAATGTTGATATCAGAAGAAAGCTTAGAATTCAACACTTAAAATATCACTTACCAGTTTTCCTTTTGAATTTTGACCAAATACCTCATTCAACCCTTGTAATATTTTTTATTTCTGTCCTGTAATGTAGGTGAGTATATGTGAAGTAACTGCTAGTAGAGTAAGTAGTAACAGTGATCGACAGTGGTTATAGTTTTGTGGTAATAAGAGGAGAGTGCTGTAACCAGTCAGGTAGGTTTCAGGAAGGCAAGCATGATAGACTTTCAGAATAGGAGGCTAAATTAGGACTTCTTACATCTTCTTTGAAAAGAGATTGTAGCACAGACTGTTTTAGAAACCATGAAGAAGACCATTTATTTGTGCAGACATTCATTGGATGAGGCAGACTATAATCCAAGGTTATTACAAATTTTGCAGAAAGGATACATCCCAAAATGCTGGGATTTCAGGCATGAGCCACCATGCCTGGCCTTGGCAGTCTTTTACATTTCTTTTTAAAAATCCTGTGTCCCTGATTGAAATTAAGGGAGAGAATAGGAGCTGACAGAAATGAAGTTTTCCTTTAGTTTTTTTATTTCCTCTTTCCTTGAAATAATTATTTTCCATTTATAGTTTTTAACTGCTTAAAAGCCTTCATCAGGTTTTAGTTTCCCCATTTACAAATAGGAAGTGAGTTTCTTTCTGTCTATAAAATTCTGGTTCCAAAAATACTGTTCTCTCCATTTGAATTGTCTCCAATTACCAGTAGAGGGAGTTTGTCCTTTATTTTTTTTCTAGTAAAGTCCAAGTTTTCAGACACATAGGATTGAAATCCATTTGTATACTTAATAATGTACAGTTTTCACATGTAAATTAATTCATCCTGCCTTAGTGATGATTTGCATTTTTTTACATCTTAATCTTAAATATGACTATTTATCAAGAATTACCTTTATTTTACACCAAAGTGTCTCAAAACTGTGGAATTAAAGATGTAATTAAAAGTAATTTCTTTTATACTTTAGGCCAATAAATCTTAATTGTTACATTTCTTTTTTACCTAGGCCAAAACCCTGAATAATATTAAGAAGTATTTAAAGTAGCCGGGCGCGGTGGCTCACGCCTGTAATCCCAGCGCTTTGGGAGGCTGAGGTGGGCGGATCACGAGGTCAGGAGATTGAGACCGTCCTGGCTAGCACAGTGAAACCCCGTCTCTACTAAAAATACAAAAAATTAGCCAGGTGTGGTGGCATGCACCTGTAGTCCCAGCTACTCGGGAGACTGAGGCAGGAGAATCGGTTGAACCCAGGAGGTGGAGGTTGCAGTGAGCCGAGATTGCGCTGTTGCACTCTAGCCTGGGCGATAGAGCGAGACTCCGTCTCAAAAAAAATAAAATAAAATAAAAAGAAGAAGTATCTAATGTAGAGTATAATAATGTAGCTATCTATTAAAGGTAAATAAACTCATTGAATTTTTAAGGCTCTTTGAGATCTAATTAATGCCCTTAAAGGGCATTAATTTCTTACTAATAAACTTTGCTAACACAATTATTTTAATGACATAACCAAGGAAGGTTTTATAACTTTGGTCTTTGTAGTGCCAGATGAATTGATGAATTTATTGGATTCTGTTCTTGACTAGCTATAGATATGAGAGTCTTTGTAGTCAGATTTTAAATGTAAGTATGAGTCATTATCTTCTTTTGGCATATTGATATTATCATCAATAAAATTTTACCAAATAGTAGTATTGAAGAGGTAAAAAAAGGTTTTAGAGCGTGGAATATACATTTTAAAGCCAGTTTTGCACTTTAAATTATGAGCATTTTAAAGCTGGAATTTATCATTTCCAAAAGTGTTTTGAGAAAAAATGACAGATTTTTTTAAACTTTTATTTTGCTTTGTGTTATAGATCATTTGTGTTGTAAATGTGTTATAGATCAATTGTGAATTATATAGTAGTGATTGAATTTTATTATATCCCTCGGGATTATTAGTCAGATCATACTTCTGAAATCCCCTTATGATGTATTTCAATTTGCTGTTTGTCTGGATTAGAACTAAGCAGGCAAGCTGAAGTATTCCAGGTGCTAGTCATTTCCTGTTCATCCTGCAAAGGGATTGGTGGATCTGCTGGTAGAGGAGGATTCTAAACCATTAGAGGGAAAATAGGCTCAACAAATTTCAGCTTCCCAGGACTAGGCAAACTTAAGAGTAACTACTGAAAGAACTGACTCATCTTCTTGGCTGGAGCTATTAACTTTTGCTGTTAAGGGGTGGTCATACTATAGCTGATAGGTCAGTCATTGCTGACTGCTTTATGTGAACTTCCTTTTTAAAGTACAAAAGGTAAAGTTTGATATACAAATAAAAGCTTTAAGTATGTTATATATGGTACATCATGCTAAAAGTTTATTCAGAATTCTGAACTGGCATAATGCAGTTTATTTTTTAGTTTTGTAAAAAAATTGAGTTTTTATCTTTTTCACATTCAGCATCATTTTTCCTCTCTTTGTTGTATACTAGCTCTTTATTAAAGAAAAAGGAACTCCGTATTTTTGTCCTGTAATTACACATTCAGTCCAGGGAGGAATGTTTAAAATTTCAAGGCTACATTAATAGAATTTAAATTTAATTATTCACAATAATATCAGCAAAAGAATATCCAGAGACATACTCTAAAACTTCATATTTGTGTCTGATTGAATGTGGAAGCTATATGTTGGCAAATGGGAGATTAGAAATGAAGATGGGGTTGCTGTTTTCATGGTGAAACATGTATGTTGCTGTGTTTGGTTAGTAAGTGGAATTTATAAAGTCCATGTTAATATTATTCAGAAATGATAATCACTGTGTCATTTCAGAAAGTCAAATTTGTAGTGCTGTGGTTTAGTGGAGAGAGCTCTAGAACAGATTGTCAATTAAAAGAGCTGGAATAACATGTGTATAGCCTTGATTAGGGACCACAGGAACATGCTTTCTCCTCTGCAAAAGAAGGAGGTAAATCAGATTGGCTATAATGTCTTTTCTAATATGAATGGTTTTTATTGCTTTTGTAGTATAGTGTTAATTAACTAGGCAAGTTGTAGCTAAAAATAATGTGTTTTTTTTTTTTTTTTTACAGTTTGAATTATTTTATAGCCAACATTTCAGTGGAAGGAAACTTACATGGTTACATTATCTGTGTACAGGTAAAATGCATTTAATTATATCTGACTTAATGAAATTTACCTGATGCTTATATTAATTTAGAAACAGATTTTCTGTGGCCCAATTACAGTTTTTAACCTTTTCTCTTCCATCAACCTTTTTCCCCATTAAAGCAACTAACAATGAAATTCAAATGAAAGTATAGCACTTTTTAATAGTATTTTATAATTATACTGTTTATAATCTTCCTGCTTTTAAAGAAATGTTCTGACTTTATACTGATTTATTACATTTCTGTAGCCAACCACTACATTAGCAAATTTATTAGAAACTCAGATTTGATGGGTCAGACACACTTAGAAACTTGTTCTCTAAATATGCCAGATCCCCTTGCCAATTTCATTATTAAAGCATCATAAGGAGACCTAACCATTTCATTTTTACTTGTGATACTGGGGTGAATGCAATAGATAGTAAAGCTTTTTGCAGAAAGTCCCACTTAATTTTCAATAGTTTCCAATTTTAAAAAACTTTAGTCACAATCTAATTTCCTTTGCTTCTTTCTGGAACAATGAGGTCCACTTACTTACAGTGGGATTAATACCTGAATTATTGTGGACTGTGTGTGGAGTTACCTGAAGATGTAAGCCAAAGCAAATACTTGAATTTTCTTTCTCTCTCTTTTTTTTTTTTTTTTAACTAAACTATGCTTTGGCAAGTTCATTGAATCACTTTTCCTTTGTACAAGAAGGAAAGGGTATATATGCTAATATTTCTTAGAAATGGTACAAGAAAATCATTTGCCAAACCTTTATTAGGAAATGTGTTCTGTCTCCTCCCCAAGGAATATTTCATCCAAGTAACTATGATACTTGCTGTTTATTTGACTGATTTACACCTTGGGAAATGTAATACATTAGTATAACATTTCTGTATCTCATTGTATTAGTAATACATTTTGCATTATTTATGTAAGTTGATCTTTATTGAGCAAGTTGGACATTCTAATTTTTAAAATAATTTTTGAAATAAGGAGATTTTCACTGATACTCTTAGTGGTGGTTAAAATTTGACCTTTGACTAAGCACAATGGCTCACGCCTGCAACCCCAGCACTTGGAGAGGCGGAGACGGGCGGGTCACTTGAGCCCAGGAGTTCGAGACCAGCCTAGGCAACATGGCAAAACCCTGTCTCTACTAAAAATCCAAAAATTAGCCAGGCGTGGTGGAACACCTGTAGTCTCAGCTACTCGAGAGGCTGAGATGGGAGGATCACTTGAGCCCAGGAGCTGGAGGCTGCAGTGAGCCATGATCGTGCCACTGCACTTCAGCCTGGGCAACAGAGCAAGACTCTATGTCAGTCAGTCAGTCAGTAAGTTGACCTTTAATTTTACAAATATTCTATTTTCATTTAGCAAATATAATTGATTTTAAGAAAAAAATGCTGGACCAGGGTTTTATATATATATTTTTTTTTCTAAGAAAGCAATATATCTTAGTGTAGTTCAATTTAGCTTGCTTTTACTTTGCATAAATATCTGTTTAGGGGAGTTTAAACTTCCTTGGGTATTCTCATTTCAGCAATAATCATGTCTCCTAAAGTAATTTTAATAAGGGGCTCATTTTTTTCATAACAACTAGTGGTGTATAAGAAGAAAATAAATTTATGCACATAGTTTTTTAGCCATTGGAATTTAGTTCGAAAATAGTCACCAGTATCACCTAAATAGGAAGGAGAATAACTTTCTTTCTGTTTTTGAGCTATACTAAATTTCTAAGCTGATACATAATAAGTTGATTTGGGAGCTCTTTTGTTTGTTCATTTCTTTTATCTTATTTAATATTATTTGTGTTTTAGTTAAAACCAAATAGTTACATCCTTTGGAAAGAGAACGTCATAAGTTTATTTTTTGTTTTGAATCACTGAAGGTACTGAAAACACCTGTGACGTATCAGTGAAACCAGGAGTTAGAGTTGTTTTTATGTTTATATTGTAAAATGATTAACTCAAGCTAATTAACGTAAGTAGCATCTCACTTATCTATTTGTGGTGAGACCATTTAACATCTACTGTCACAGCAATTACTGTCAGCAATTTTCTTTGTTTTTTTGTTGTTGTTGTTGCTGTTTTTTGAGACAGAGTCTTGCTCTGTCATCCAGGCTGGAGTGCAATGGCGTGATCTGGGCTCACTGCAACTTCCACCTTCTGGGTTCAAGTGATTCTCCTGCCTCCGCCTCCTGAGTAGCTGGAATTACAGGCACACACTACCACACCCAGCTAATTTTTGTATTTTTAGTAGAGACGGAGTTTCACCATGTTGGCCAGGTTGGTCTCGAACTCCTGACCTCGTGATCCACCCACCTCGGCCTCCTGAAGTGCTGGGATTACAAGCGTGAGCCACCGTGCCTGACCTTGTCACAGTAATTTTCAAGTTTACTCCACAGTGTGATTAAGAGTCACCATGCTATATGATAGAGCTCCAGAACTTACTGGTCCTAACTGAAACTTTGTCCCCTTTGACCAACATTTTTCGTTTTATTTTTGTTCTCCATTTATTCATTTAACAAAAAGGTTCTCACACACCATGTGTATTGAAGATGATTGTTCTAGATTACCCATATATGACCTAAGGCTCCAGGACTTCCTTAAAACACTGGCTCTGAGGCTGGACAGATCACTCAGAGTTCTGTTTCTTGAGAACCGCTGTTACTTTCACTTAAACACAGAATGAAAATTATTCCTTCCTAGTCCATTGCTATATTTCCAGCTCAGTGAATACCCCAGAAAAGGTTAATTTTTCTATTGTAAATGAAGAGTCTTTACAAATGGTTGATGCTACACAAAGTGGTATTTGGGGGAATTTAGAATTAAAAGACCTGTGGTCGGAGTTATTAGCTCACAACTTACTAGCTGTGTAATCTTGAGCAAGTTACTTAACACCTTTGAGCCTGTTTCCTCGTCTTTATCGTTGTAAAATTCATTGATCAATTCAAAGAACATTTTCTGTGTCTCAAGTACTTCTAAACACCAAGTGGACAGAAATAAAATACAGAGCCTTGGCCCTCAAAAAAAGCTCATGTCTAGTAGGCAGACAGACAAGCACATAGTTACGGTACAGTGTTTTGAACGTGGTAGAGGTCAGCCCAGGGCGTAATACAGAATGGTGGTGGCAGTCAGGTCCTGGCGAGGGAGGGCTTCTGGAGAAATCACGTCTCAACTTGTTTTCAAGAACTCATAGGGCCAGGTGCAGTGACTCACACCTGTAATCTAGCACTTTGGGAGGCTGAGGCAGGAGAATCCCTTGAGCCCAGGAGTTCAAAATCAGCTTGGGCAACATAGTGAGACCCTGTCTTGAAAAAATAAAATAAAATAAAAATAATGAATAGGACTTAACCAAGCTAGGTAAAGGAGAGTGTTGAGAGTGTATTACCAACAGAGGTAAGAATTTTAAGAAGCAATCTGTGATGCCAGATGTGACAGAGTGAGAAAAATCCTGAAAATTCCAGTGAATTTATGACTAGGGCTTTGGATAGAATTAACCATAAGGAACAGTTTGATAAAGACATACAGATACTTGATAAAGAGATATGACCAGACAGTGTGACAGAAACTATTACACTGTCTGCATATAAATAAGTTTTATTTGTGGCAGAGCAAGAAGTTGCCGAGATTCCTGGTCAGTTGCTGAAAGACATGTTGAGAAATGATGAACTCAAAGAAGATAAAACTTCACCAGACAGTACATAGTATGGATCAAGCTAGAACTTTGTGAACCCTACATCATAGTATGTGTTGGTAGTTACTAGTGTTTGCCAAAATAAAAGTAACACCATATAATTGTGCATACCTTAAAAGGTAACGATTCTATTGACTAAATTTGTCTCGCTTTTGTTTTCAAATACTTCCAACAGCTAAAAATAGGCAGGGGTGTTAATATTGTCTAATGTCCAGTCTATATTCAAATTTCCCTGATTGTCCCAAGTTGACTTGCCTGACTGTCAGAGGTCACTAATTGTATTTGGTTGTTACGTTTCCCTTCCACCGCCCCACTTCTCAGCATCCTCTGACATACCGTTTTGAACAGACCAGGCCAGTTGTCTTGTAGAGTATCCAGTACTCTGGATTACTTATTTGGGATTTTTAAAATTTTTTACTTTTTAATTTGTTTTCTATTCCTTGTATGTTCTGGAAAGTGGAAATTAGTTCTAAAGGTTTGATTATATTCAGTTAAGTATTATTGGCAAGGATATTTCATAGGTGGTCCTGTGTATTTCATATTGCGTATTTCAAAGGCATCTAATGTCAGGTTGTCTCACTATTAGAGATGCTAAATTTGGAAGGCGGTAACCACCAGTTTTCTCCATTGTAGAGGCACTCTTTCCCCTTTTCGGTTAGCTCAGCAGACAATCTGAGGGATGATACTTTGGCATGAATACCCTGTTCCAGGAACCTAATATAGTTTTAGCCTCCACTGATGATCTTTGCCAGAATCAGTTGTTTCACAACTGATTGCAAAATGGTGATATTCTATCATGCCTTCGGCATTCCCTGAGAGAGTAGAGAGCTGACACAGATACTGGGTAGTGACTTGGATGAAACTATTATGAGAGTTTTGCCCACTCTTTATTTCCTGTCATGTAAATGCTGCTTGAATTATTGTTGGCTTACTTTAAGTATCATGTATCAGAATGTTTTATTTTAGTTTTTAGTCTCTTAGGGTTCACCAGCCTATTCTATGGGGTAAATCACCACTCTTGTCATTTCTCATTTGTGTTTATATCACAATAATTAAATGAATCATCCAAGTTTGGGGCTTCCTTTCCCCCCCCGCCCCCCGTGCCTTCCCACCCCTTCCCCAGTCTTTTCAGTAAGAGTATGGTGCTAAGAAAAGTGGGAAGAGGTCAATGTACCCCAATCCCTGGTAAAGTATTGAAAAATAGCAAGAAAAGGCACAATGCAAGAATGAACTCAATAAGAAGTACATGATACTTTGGCCTCACATAATCTCCTAATGCTCTTTGGATCTCGTGGTGCTAAACGACAACTTTTGTGTGGCAGAAGACTCATTCTGTTTTCAAACCCATGGCAGCATATTACAGCATCAGTGACATCCTGGCTGATGGTGCCACTTAATCATCTTGGTGCTTGATGCATAATTCTGTTTGTTTCTGCATATGTTTAATTCATCATTGCAGAAATAACAAAATGTAATTTATGTAATGTTTTACTTCTTACCACATTTTCCAAATTTAATGTTGATAAGAGCCCTGTTTATGGAAAGTGTTAATAGTGTATGCCAAATGATAAGTTTTTACACAAGCTGTTTCTATGAATTGGATATTGAATTTAATATATTAAACTTCCTTTTGTGAAAATTTAAAGGGTTATGAATTTTTTCTCTTGGTGTTCCCATCCAAATAATTCTGAAAAATATTTCTGAATATCATTTTTATCTAAAATAAGTCAAGGCATAAATGATGATAATCAAGATAGTATTGCATTTATGGTGATATTAAGCTAATGAATTCACTCATGGCCTTTAAAACCTTTTTTTTTTTTTTTTTTTTTTTTTTTTTTGAGGCGGAGTTTCACTCTTGTTGCCCGGGCTGGAGTGCAATGGCACGATCTCGGCTCACAGCAACCTCTGCCTCCTGGGTTCAAGCCATTCTCCTGCCTCAACCTACGGAGTAGACAGGATTACAGGCATGCGCCACCACACCCGGCTAATTTTGTATTTTTAGTAGAGACAGGGTTTCTCCATGTTGGTCAGGCTGGTCTCGAACTCCGGACCTCAGGTGATCCGCCCGCCTCAGCCTCCCAAAGTGCTGAGATTACAGGCTTGAGCCACCATGCCCAGCCTAAAATCTTTAATGAGGTAATGAATACATAAAGCAGAAAACCTTAATCAGAGTTACTAATTCTCCTTAAGAGGGAAAATGCAGTCTCTGGGGTAATTTCATGAGAAATACAACTTCCTTGAGTTAACAATGAAGAGCTTTAAAATCAAATCTCGTGTTGATTTCATTTATAGTCCGTTCAGCAGTCAAATAATGCAGGCTGTGTGTGTGCGCGTCATGAGCTTTCCGTGTGCTGATGTCATGCTGCTGTCTCCCAGGATGTTGCAGAACTGTAGTATACATAATACTTGCTCTATCTCTTGGAGCTCAGGGTCGTTTAGCATACAGAATTTCTTTTTTTTTTTTTTTTTTTTTTGAGACAGATACTCATTCTGTCTCCCAGGTTTGAGTGCAGTGGTGCGATCTTGGCTCACTGCAACTTCCGCCTCCGAGGATCAAGCGCTTCTTATACCTTAGCCTCCCGAGTAGCTGAGATTACAGGCATATGCCATCATGCCCGGCGAATTTTTGTATTTTTAGTAGAGACAAGGTTTCGCCATGTTGACCAGGCTGGTCTTGAACTCCTAGGTTTAAGTGATCTGCCCACCTCAGCCTTTCAGAGTGCTGGGATTACAGGCATGATCCATCGTGCCTGGCCCATATGGAACATATTTATGAAAACATTCAGATTAAATGTTTTTCATTTTTATGAAAACATTCAGATTAAATTAAATTCTTTTGCTATCAACTATTTCAGCAAAAGAATGGGTCTGCCTGTTTGTCTCCTTTCTTACCTATTTGCCTCTAGGAAGTTACTGGAAAGAAAAATGTTATTTATAAGACATAATAGCATTAATTGTGGCCGAAATTACAGCTTGGACAGGACCGTAAAAGCATTTTCCATATGGCTGTAGACCTCCCAGGAGGCTTGAACCTTCCATGGGAGACTTGTGTCAGTTGTTGGTATCACTTTCCCCTTTGTCCGTCCATTTCTCCTTCACCCACCTCCTTTTATTGTTTGGATTTTTTGTTTTTTTCTTTTTCTGCCTAAGTCTTAGCGTTTCTATTAGTACTTAAAGACTTTTTTTTTTTTTTTTTGAGACAGAGTCTTGCTCTGTCACCCAGGCTGGAGTACAGTGGCGCGATCCCGGCTTGCTGCAACCTCGGCCTCCCAGGTTCAAGCGATTTTCCTGCCTCAGCCTCCCGAGTAGCTAGGATTACAGGCATGTGCCACCACGCCTGGCTAATTTTTGTACTTTTAGTAAAGACAGGGTTTTACCATGTTGACCAGGCTGGTCTCGACCTCCTGACCTAAAGTGATCTGCCTGCCTTGGCCTCCCAAAGTGCTGGGATTACAGATGTGAGCCACTGTGCCTGGCCTTAAAGACTGTTTTAACCTACTGGTGAAGTTATGATAGCTTAACTGATTTATACCATATACTCAAAACTAATAGAATTCCATCTTCACCTCCCCAAGAAACAAAATGACTACCTTGTTAACAGCAGTGGGTTTACAACAATTTAATAAAACTATTGGTTCACTCTTTCAGAGGAAAATGTCTGAAATAGAGTAAATTTGAAATGTTTCTTTGAATGGTCATTTCACTGTCAGTTTTTGTTTTAATTGTAGGTGAAGTTAAAATGAACTATTTGGGCAAGCCATATGTAGCCATGGTTACGACATACCAAATGGCAGTTCTTCTTGCCTTTAACAACAGTGAAACTGTCAGTTATAAGGAGCTTCAGGACAGCACTCAGATGAATGAAAAGGAACTGACAAAAACAATCAAATCATTACTTGATGTGAAAATGATTAACCATGATTCAGAAAAGGTATGTAGTAATATTCCAAAGAATTTAAGCATTATCAACCTTAAAGCTTTTTCATGAGACATTGGCAGTTTTAAAGTAAGGCTGTAATTGTCATTGCACCTTGTGCTCTGGAAAGCACTTGCATTCACTACATTACTGCACGCTCCATAGAGCTGCGAGTGTAAGGCATCACAGAGCGTGCTGTGTGAGTTGGTGCCATGTGCCCTTTATAGTTTGATTTTATTTGTCCTATACTGTTAAAGCTTATTGAATAATTGTAAAAGAATTGCCATCTGGAAGATTTTGATTAATTGAGATTTTGAAACTAGCCTTTAAAGACTTTCTGGGTTTTTGGTTTTATAAATGTGCTTAATTTCATGGTTCTATACCAGGAAATGACAGCCTGTTGACGTCTATTTGTACACATATTTAATATGTGTAACTCCATTCCAAGTGTTCTTAATGTCAGCACTCAATTAACTATCATCTGTTTTTAACCACCATATATTTTTTATGCCTGTCACAAGAATAACAAGCCATTAGTATATTACTTTTTTTCTCTGTAACTTTTTTTCTAGTTACAAGATTTCATTGTTTTGTTTTCATAGTATATCCTAGATGTTTAAATAGTTAAAAATGCAACAGAGGTGGGATTATATCTCCTTCAAATTATTGTGCTTGTAAGAAAAAAATTTCTATAAATAATGTTTTGTTTTTATTTTGGTAAAGTTAATAGCCTACGGTTTATTTCTCTCATCAATTCATTTTGCTGACATCCCGAAGATGATGATGACATTTTATAGTCTACAATTGAACAACTGTAAAAGGCATATATTCTGAAATTCAAATCAATGTTTTCATAATTTTGAGAAATGATTTTTCTGGCATCAGAATCTTAGCAAAATACGGAATTTCTTTTTTTTTTTTTTTTTTGAGACGGTGTTCCACTCTTGTTGCCCAGACTGGAGTGTAATGGCGTGATCTCGGCTCACTGCAGCCTCCACCTTCTGGGTTCAAATGATTCTCCTGTCTCAGCTTCCTGAGTAGCTGGGACATGCCACCATGCCCAGCTACTTTTGTATTTTTAGTGGAGATAGGGTTTCACAATGTTGGCCAGCCTGGTCAGGCTGGTCTGGAACTCCTGACCTCAGGTGATCCACCCGTCTTGGCCTCCCAAAGTGCTGGGATTACAAGTGTGACCACCGTGCCTGGCCAAAATAGGGATTTCTTAAGGTTAATTAATTATGGTTTTTAATTTTAGGCTAGTAAATGCTTGAAGGTTTTATATTTTTTTTCTAAAACATGCTGCCCAGAAATTGACAAAGTAAACATAGATTCCTTGTTTGCACTTTAAATTTTATTTTATATTATTTTTTATTTGTTTTTAAGGTGAGATCTCATTGTACCACCCAGGTTGGAGTGCAGTGGTGCCATCTCAGCTCACTGCAACCCCCACCTCCTGGGCTCAAGTGATAATCCCGCCTCAGCCTTCCAAGTAGCTGGGACCACAGGTGTGAGCCACTATGCCAGGCTAATTTTTAAATTTTTAGTAGAGACCGGATTTTGCTGTATTGGCCAGGCTGGTCTTGAACTCCTGAGCTCAAGCACTCTGCCCACCTCAGCCTCCCAAAGTGGTGAGATTATAGGCGTGAGCCACCATGCCTGGCCTTTTAATTTAATTATGAATCCGTCCATTCCTTAGCAGAATGTCTTAGATTATTATTGAGAATTAGTTCATCTTCCAAATGCCTTTTGATCCTTCTGCCAGAGAAATTCCACCCTGTGATATCAGTGGCTTTCTTAAGCCTGATATGGAAGTTGTTATTCTAAAAATTGGCTTAACAGTTTTCCTCTGAGCAAAGGCCACTTGCTTCTTGAAGAGTGAATAAAAGATGGATTGAAGTAAACGTTTTCACCATCACCCCAGGTCACGGCAAATTGATGCTGTGTGCTACTGGAGGCACAGCTTTCTCCTGCCATCAGGCCATTTACAGTGGGTATTTTGTTATTGCAGCATTTGTAAAAAAAATTTGGTTGGTTTTTCAGAATGGGGTGATGGAAAAGTTATGAACTTTGGTGTTTCATAAAAATTAAAATGTCAAACTCTAGGCAATGAGCTTGACTCTTTTATCAAAAAGTAGTGTGTATGTAATAGTAGGACCAGCAAATATCTTATTGCCAAATATAAACTGCTTAAGATTCTGGCAGATGTAAAAGTAGAAAATAAAATTGGGTTTTTCCTGTTTGTTTGAACAAAAGAATTATTTTTCTCTTAAATTTGGTAATCTATAATATAAAAGTTATAAGAGTGGAGACTTTTTTGCTTGGTCATTCATTTAGTGGAATTGCTTGCAGCAAGCTCTTATTTATAAGATTTTGGTTTTTGTAAATATAAATGTTTTATTTTTAAATGTAGGAAGATATTGATGCAGAATCTTCATTTTCATTAAATATGAACTTTAGCAGTAAACGAACAAAATTTAAAATTACTACATCAATGCAGAAAGACACACCACAAGTAAGTGTTTTTAATGTCAAGTTTTTTTGAGGGGGAAACATTTAAGCATTGGACTTTACAAGTGTTTACACTGAGATTGTGCAAAACATTGCACAGCAAACTTAATAGTGGGGTATGTCTTTTCTGGTTTGTTGTTGGCATTTATTAACCTTACAATCAAACAGAAATCTCTACTTGTTTTTTAGTTTTTTCTAAGGAAAAGAGTATGGTTTTGTTGTATTTGCTCTTAAACCACTAGAATGTGTAACTTTACATTCTCTCCGAAAATTCCCACATTGAGAAGTAATAAAATTTCATATTTTTCATTTGTAAAATAAGGGAAAGTTCTACAGCTTTTTTTTTTTTTTCCTGAGACGGAGTCTCACTCTCTCACCCAGGCTGGAGTGCAGTGGTGTGATCTCGGCTCACTGCAAGTTCTGCCTCCCAGGTTCACGCCATTCTCCTGCCTCAGGCTCCCAAGTAGCTGGGACTACAGGCGCCTGTCACCACGCCCGGCTAATTTTCTTTTTGTATTTTTAGTAGAGACAGGGTTTCGCCGTGTTAGCCAGGATGGTCTCCATCTCCTGACCTCATGATCCGCCCGCCTCCCAACGTGCTGGGATTACAGGTGTGAGCCACCTAGCGTGGCCTACAGCTCATTTGTTTCAAAGAAAACTTGTCAGTAGAGAATGCTTCTTAAACTTTTATATGCAAATGAACCACCTGGGCATCTTGTTCAAATGCAGATTGTGATCTAGTGGGTGTGGAGTGAGGTCCTAACAGGCCAGTGTGAGGAGGGGACCTCGGCTCTTCATTCTTTTAACTTAGCAGTGATTGTTGCTTTGGTCTAGGATAGACTGTTACTATCACTCATGCTTCCTGATTGCCTTCCGTGTGCAGTCCTTGGGCTGGTGCAGGATGTGAAGATAATATAAGACATTAGACCCTCTCCAGAAACGTAATTCCCCATGGGGGAGACAAATATTAATTGCGATTCACTTTGAAACCTAAAATGGTCAAGATTCCATTTTCCTCCAGGCTAATACATAAATATATAGATTGTATTTTGTCTTTGAAAAGCTATGAGGAGATCCTATTACTGTGGCATGGCCTGCTTCTATGCCTTGCTTCTCCTGTGTTTCTTGAGCTCCGTGGAGATAGGCCCCCTCTCCTGGCTTCTCTGCTTGAGCCACATAAAATGGCACTTCACAGCTGTTCTCTTTGAAGCCTGATCCAGTATGCATTTGGAGCTAATTACCGCAGTTGACACAACTCCATCTAAAAGCATCGTGATACAGATTCTGTAATCACTGATAAGAAATGATCTTGCAAATTATTGCTGTGTCCTCCTTTATTACCTGTTTACCTTAACAGTACAGTTTATAATAATGTAAATTTTTTTTCTAATAACCTTTCAACTTTAACCCTAGAAATTGTAGAGTAGATGTTTTAGCAGTGGTTATGTGATATTAGCACAACATAGCTGTATAATTTGCTCAGTATTGTGGTGCATGCCTGTAATCCCAGCTGCTCAGGAGTCTGAGGCATGAGAATCACATGAACCCAGGAGATGGAGGTTGCAGTGAGCTGAGATCGAGTCACTGAACTCCAGCCAGGACGACAGAGTGAAACCCTGTCTCAAAATAAAAAAAAAAGTATTTGCACTCACTGATAAAATGAATTTAAAACAAGTTCAGTGACTTAATGTCTTGTTGGGTCTTTTTTCTTTTCTTCTGTAAAACAGGAAATGGAGCAGACTAGAAGTGCAGTCGATGAGGACCGGAAAATGTATCTCCAAGCTGCTATAGTTCGTATCATGAAAGCACGAAAAGTGCTTCGGCACAATGCCCTTATTCAAGAGGTAAAAAGAGGGCAGTCCTCAGGGCTTCTTAGGATAGAGGGCATTGTCATTGTACAGATTCAATCTCTTTCTTCTTAAAGAGAATATAGAAATAACCTGATCCTCAGATAGCATAAAGAAATGTTTTATACTTAATCAGAATTGTACTCACTTATAATTTCAGTATTAAATTCGGATTTGCAGGCTGGGCACAGTGGCTCATGCCTGTAATCCTTGTTGTTGTTGTTGTTGTTGTTGTTGTTGTTGAGACAGAGTCTTGCTCTGTCACCCAGGCTGGAATACCGTGGCGTGATCTTGCTCACTGCAACCTCTGTCTACCAGGTTCAAGTGATTCTCCTGCCTCAGCCTCCCGAGTAGCTGGGAATACAGGCGTGTACCACCATACCTGGCTAATTTTTGTATTTTCATGGAGATAGAGTTTCACCATGTTGGCCAGGCTGGTCTCTAACTCCTGACCTCAGGTGATCCACCTGCCTCGGCCTCCAAAAGTGCTGGGGTTACAGGCATGAGCCACCATGCTCAGTGGACACCTGTAATCTGAATGCCTTGTTAGGCCAAGACAGGAGGATCACCTGAGTTCAGGAGTTTCAGACCAGCCCGGGCAACACGGGGAGACCCCATCTCACCTAAAAAATAAATAAATAAATAAATAAATAAATAATTAGCCAGGTGTGGTGGCGCACCTGTAGTACCAACTATCTGGGAGGCTGAGGTGGGAGGATTGCTTGAGCCCAGGGATTGAGCCTGCGTGACACAGTGAGATGCTATCTCAAATGATAATAAATTCATATTTGCTTTGGCTTTATTTTAGAGGTCTAAAACTTACCGATTCACTGAGTCTTCTGTCCAGTTATTGAAGGAAGTTGACCCATCATTCATTCCATAACTACTTGAGCCTACCATGTGATAGACAGCTGTGGGCTGGTGCCTGGGATGTAGTACAGAGCAGCTGAAGATGTGGCAGGCTGTTTTGGAGTTCACAGTTTAATGGGGGAAGAAATACACTATTGAAGTAATATGCAAATAACTATAACATTGTATTAACATGCACTAAAGGAAAGGTATGCAGTACTGTAGGAATGTATTTAAATATCCTGGCCTGGGGTCTGCTGGGGGAAACTCTCTTGAGAAAGTGGTGTTTGAACTAAGAACTGAGAGTTGAGTTAAAGTTAAATAGAAGCTTGGGGTTGTGTGTGAGTACTTAGTTTATTGTTTCACTTAATTATGTATCATTATTAGATTTTGCTGTATCCATTTTCCACAATTTAGTTCCTATTTTCATACTTAATTTGGCCCATTTGTTGAAACCTCAGTACCTTTGAGGCACTTTAAACTGATTGGTTAAAAGTAATTACTTATAGCTGAAGAACTGGCAGTACTTTGACTTCAACATCTCTCTTCCACAGGTGATTAGTCAGTCAAGAGCTAGGTTTAATCCCAGTATCAGCATGATTAAGAAGTGTATTGAAGTTCTGATAGACAAACAGTACATCGAACGCAGCCAGGCATCGGCAGATGAATACAGCTACGTCGCGTGATGTCGCTCTCCTCCAGCGTGGTGTGAGAAGATCATTGCCATCACCATTTGGTGTATTCCTGTGGGAAAAAGCAGGCCTGTGCCTCCATAATTTGGTCATTTGGCAGCCCCTGTTTTCTGCTGTTTACAACATCACCAGTGCCACGTCATGAGCGTCAAAGAAAATGCCTAGAGATATTTCAAGCTCATGTCATTATGACATTTCTTAAAACTTTATTAAAAGAATGAGTGAAGTATTGCTGAAATGTGGACATTCGGTTGGGTACCATGCTTTTTCTCCCCTTCACGTTTGCAGTTGATGTGTCTTTTTTTTTTTTTTTTTTTTTTTTAATGTATCTTAAAGGACATAAAATTAAAAAACTTAAATATTGTAATATGACAGATAACCTAATAATTGTATCTACATTAAAATGACAAACATGATACTGCTGCTTGTCAAATAAAAAAAAATAAAGAAATAGAATGCCTTTTTTATGTGGATGGAGTATCAGGCTGACCACACAATATATTGACTCAAAGCAGCTAATGCATCTTTAGTTGCGTTTTTATCTGAATGGTTTAATTCACTTGTACTCCTATTTAAATCCTACATGAAAAATGTCTAGATTATTGTTCTTGAATGCATAGGATTGCATTCAGGATAAAGAATGCTTTATTTTTATGGATTAGATATACTGGATCTAAACATTTTGAATCTTGAAGATGTAATTCCATCAGCAGTTTCTGGTGGTGTGCTACCCCACAGACATCGCAGAGTGTGAGCAGGATGTGTGGTGACCTCAAGTCTGGCACAAAGAGAGCTTTTCATTCAAAAGTTGTCTTTCTTCTGTTGCATAATCCATTAGTTCTAGCATAGACTAATACCCTAGCTCTATGGCCTTCCCTGAGTCTTAGGAAATCTGTGATACCAACATATTCCTTCTATATGCCTTCCCTACCTGTTACCCTTATAGCCCTCCTCCAACAGTTTAGATACTAGAGTCACTCTCATCAGTTACAGATGTGCTTAGCAATGCATAACTTAAATACTTTTTTTAAAGAAAATTGTACATTGTACTGGGTGCCACATATATAAATCCCATTATTTTGTTTATTTTATATATATATATATATATATATATCAACAGCAGTGTTAGAATACTGCGATCTATTATCATATTTATTGTCTATCCATGCCGTCACCACCACCACACCCCTCCTCCCTTGACAGACAAACAATTTTTCTTTTTTTTTTTAAATAAGAGATGGGGTTTCGCCATGTTTCCCAGGCTAGTCTGGAACTTCTGGCCTCAAGCAATCCTGTCTGTCTCCCAAAGTGCTGGGATTACAAGCGTGAGCCACTGCATGCATCCAACACACAATTTTTAAAATCCGGAATATTTTAAAGCAAATCACACAGAAAGTATTTCACTTATAATACTTAAATAAGACCTTTAAAAAAAATCCACAATTTTATATTACTCCTAACAAAAACAATAATTACTTAGTATCATCTAATAGGTGGTTCATATTTAAATTTGTTGTTGTTTTGAAATGGCTTTTACAATTGGTTTATTCGATTGCATTTTTTCTAACTCGTGTCTCAAGTGTTTTAAAAATCTGCTGAACTTACAATGACTTATATACTGTATTTCTCATTTTACCTTTCTTCCAAATGAGGAAATAATGGCAAACCATATAATATTGTACATTCACTGTCAAAAAGAAAACCCTTGTTTTGATAACTTGTTGATTGATAAAAGTTTTCCAAATTGATTCCTTTTTTCTTAAATATTTATACATGTTAAATTAAGTCTTATCCTGGTATCTAATTGTCAAGAAAATATACTGAAAAATGGACAAAGTACTTGTGCGAAGGTCTACAGAGATGGCTTACAAGAGTTTTCTTCACATCCTTTCTCCATTTTACCTGAAAGGAAACATCTCTCGCATGAGGAAGAAAAGAGGCCAGATCCATTCAACCAAGGCACCATTCAGAAAATGAGCAATGTTTGGAATTCATTGCAGCACACACCTTCCCCTGCAGAGTGCAGGGAACAGTTGCAGTCTTGTCAAGTTAGGTCAGGAGATTGAAGTCATCACTGCAGAAGCTGTAGCACACAGCCCAGAGCTCTGACCTGGCTGCCCTGCTGTGCAATAACTAGTGCGAGTGGACAAAATAGCCCAGAGCTACGAAAAGGAAAAAGGAGCAAGGAGAGGAGGATTTTCTATGCTTCACTGCAGAAAACACAAGTGAGCAAAACCCTCAGAAGTTTTTTAGAAGTCATTAATACTAAGGTAGTTTACGTGTATGAGTCAGTGATGCATTTTATAGCCAGTCAGCATGAGGCCTTGTCAACATGCCAATATCCTTCCCCTTGGAAAGCAAATATTTAATTGCTAATGAAGGTGCAGACTTATTTTAAGGTTTAGTCCAATATTTTATGACCATTTGCTTTAATATAAACAAACACTCTGGGGGTTGGGTGCTTATTTTGTTGCTTTAAGGCAGGGTCTTGCTCTGTCACCCAGGCTGGAGTGCAGTAGTGCAATCACGGCACACTGCACCCTCGACCTACCGGGCTCAAGTGATCCTCCCACCTCAGCTCCCAAGTAGCTGGGACCACAGGCACATGCCACCACACTTGGCTAATCTTTGTATTTTTTGTAGAGACAAGGTTTTGCCATGTTGCCGAGGCTGGTCTCAAACTCCTGAGCTCAAGCAATCTGCCTGCCTCAGCCTTCCAAAGTGCTGGGATTAGAGGTGTGAGCCACCATGCCAGGCTTTATTTTCTTTGTAACTTACTATCTTCTTAGGATTTTGTAACCTATATATGCTACCATGCTATCCCATGTCCACTTCTTAAAAAAACTTTTTGAGTATAACTGATGACAGGTGCTTCCACCTATGTTATTTTATTTAATCTTCAGGTAATCCTGTTTGGTAGGCAATGCTTCTTTTTTCATAGGTGAGGAAGCTAAATGAGACTTCTCCAGGAGTTACTATTGTAAACTGCAGAACCTGAATTTAAATGCCAGTCAATTCCATGGATGTTATAAGTATAGCCTCTCTATGTACATAGCCTCTAAAATAAGTAGAAATAACTTCATTTCATACATAAAGAATAGTTTTTCCTGACTTTTTAGAGTAACAATTTATTTCCAGTTAAATAATGTATGATAAACACTTCATATTTTTCTTAAGATACTTATTTAAGATGATGTAAATACACACGATTAAGGAATTTGTCTTGGCACATAGCTGATTCATGACAAAGGGTATTTGTGAATTTAGTATTTTACATTCACATGTACTATTACAAAACATTTATTTCACAGTGTATATATACTTAAAAGTTGTTACCAGTTAATTTTGTTGAGCTATGTACTTAATTTTTGGTTCCAAGAATAAATTCTTGGTTGAGCAAGGTCAAAGTCAGGATGCGAACTTTAAAAATACTAGTCCGTGGCTGGGCACAGTGGCTCACACCTGTAATCCCAGCACTTTGGGAGACTGAGGTGGGTGGATCACCTGAGGTCAGGAGTTCAAGACCAGCCTGACCAACATGGAGAAACCCTGTCTCTACTAAAAATACAAAAAATTAGCTGGGCGTGGTGGCGGGCACCTGTAGTCCCAGCTACTGAGGAGGCTGAGGCAGGAGAATCACTTGAACCCAGGAGGTGGAGATTGCGCCATTGCACTCCAGCCTGGGCGACGAGCAAAACTCAGTCTCAAATAAATAAATAAATAAACAAACTAGTCCTAAGGGCTGTTGCACATGGGCCATAGCAAAATGAATGGAAATTAATGTGGAGAGACCCACTAGTAGAAGATTGCTGTGTTCTTGGAGCATATCAAGGCCAAAGCAATTAAATTAGGCACTCCTTTGAAATATATGGCCCCATAGGCCAGAATTTATTAAAGGTAGGATTTACTAATGGGGAAAAATGATAATTTTCATAAGGAATGGCTGTACTACCTATGAAATTGTAAGAGATTTTTTTTTTTCTTCCCCTGGCCCCTATCCACAACCCAGGAAATTCCTCCTCTTATCATCTAGCAAACAGGTACTGGTGCCAGGGCATTACGCTGGGTGCAAGATATGCAATGATGTGCAGAAAAGATGCGGTCTGTGCTCACATGGAGCTTCCGGTCTTTAACAGTCAGTCAGAGCTGTGTCATTCCAGATGTGGTAAGTGCTTGTGAAGGAAATCCTGACTGCTCAGGAGGATTTCATAAGAGAGGTTAATGGGTGGAGAATGAAGGTGGGAGAGCACATTCTAAACGGAAGTGACAGCAAAGATCCTGAGATAAGAGGCATCCAGAACCTGGAAATCAAAAAGACCAGTGTGGCCGAATTATTTGCATTTTATGCAGAGAGTGATTTAGTTATATTTACATTTTTAAAAGATGATGGCAATGTTTTCATAACTTGGCTAGTCAGTGTGTGAATATTCATTTTGTTAACATGCTTTATGGTGTACATATTTATATATTATTTTGCTTTGGCATTTGTGTGAACTATGTCATAATATTTGTGAATTTCTTTTTTTTTTTTTTGAAACAGAGTCTTGCTCTGTTGCCCAGGCTGGAGTGCAGTGGCACGATCTCTGCTCACTGCAATCTCTGCCTCCCAGGTTCAACTGATCCTCCTGCCTCAGCCCCCCTAGTAGCTGGGATTTATGGGCACACACCACCATGCCCGGCTAATTTTTGTTTTTGTTTTTTTTTTTTTTTTTTGAGACTGAGTCTCGCTCTGTCGCCCAGGCTGGAGTGCAGTGGCGCGATCTCGGCTCACTGCAAGCTCCACCTCTGGGTTTACGCCATTCTCCTGCCTCAGCCTCCTGAGTAGCTGGACTCAGGCGCCCCCCCGGCTATTTTTTGTATTTTTAGTAGAGACGGGTTTCACCATGTCTCGATCTCTACCTTGATCCCCCCCGGCCTCCAATGCTGGATTCAGCGTGAGCCACCCGCCCGGCCCGATTTTTGTATTTTTAGTAGAGATGGGGTTTCACCATGTTGACCAGGCTGGTCTTGAACTCCCAACCTCAGGTGGTCCACTCGCCTCAGCCTCCCAAAGTGCTGGGATTACAGGTGTGAGCCACCACGCCTGGCCAATATTTGTAAATTTTAAGGGAAAATGGATCGGAAGAAATTAGGAGGTCTGGGCAGGAGTAATCTTTTACAGAGTCTTGCTCTGTCGCCCAGGATGGAGTGCAGTGGTGCCATCTCAGCTCACTGCAAACTCTGCCTCCCAGGTTCAAGCGATTCTTGTGCCTCAGCCTCCCAAGTAGCTGGGATTAGTTTGCATGACCATGCTTGGCTAATTTTTGTATTTTTAGTAGTCAGGGTTTCATCATGTTGGCCAGGCCGGTCTTGAACTCCTGACCTCAAGCAATCCGCCCGCGTCAGCCTCCCAAAGTGCTGGGATTACAAGCATGAGCCACTGTGCCCAGCTCAGGAGTTATCTTAATGACAGTGGCTACTTCTAGAGGGATCAAGTGGATGAACCGGAGTGAGTTATGGTTTGAGACAGGGTGAGTAGGGGAACGGATGAGTCAAGGATGGCAACCTAGATTTTTGGCTTTCACAACTAATACCATTTAGCGAGTTAGGAGGATCCTAGAAGCCAGAATGGAGAAGGAAGTTAGTAGGGTGGGTTTTAGACAATGTGCACTGGATGTGCTTTTGAGATGTGCAAGTGCAGCAGGTGGTTGGTTGTAAAGGCTGAAAGTTCACTGTGCACCTATTCCCATCCTGATTCTTAGAAACCAATCCTTAGAAGCTGTTTGAACCATTCTCCTCTCTCTGACCCTAACCCGTGAGTCAACACTTTCCAGGTTCATTGTGACTAGAGAATAACAAACATTTACTACCACATGAATGTGTTACAGACATGTTAAGTCATAAAAATGGGAATGAATAGGAATGAGATTTTTCCTTTAGTTATTTATATATTAATACATTCTAGTATTTGCCTTCCTGTGTTTCAGTGAGTGGTCTTTTCACCCCCGCTTTGAGGTGAGAACACATTTACAGAAGCGGGATCATTGAGCCCAAGGTGAACCTGCCGGATTCTCTGTCACCAGGCTGGAGTGCAGTGACGTGATCTCGGCTCACTGCAGCCTGCACCTCCAGGTTCAAGTGATTCTCCTGCCTCAGCCTCCCGAGTCGCTGGGACCACAGGTGTGCACCACTACCCCCAGCTAATTTTTTTGTATTTTTCATAGAGACAGGGTTTCACCATGTTGGCCAGGATGGTCTCTATCTCTTGACCTCGTGATCCACCCGCCTCGGCCTCCCAAAGTGCTAGGATGACAGGCGTGAGCCACCGCGCCCGGCTGGTTCTTTCTTATATTCATAAATCTTTGCTCACTACTGCTTTTGCACTGTACTCCTGGCAAGCTTAAAATGAGTCATCAGCAAAGGAAGAAACCTTTGGAAACCAACATGTGGAAAAGAATTTGAATAACAAAGGGCGGTATTAGATGTTTTGTTATTGTTTTCCTTTTTTCCATTGTTAGTAGCTTGCTATTTATAGTTCTAGTAATTGAAGAATTGTAGACTGTGTTGAAGTTTGCAGCCTTGGGTAAGGAGTAAACTCAGTGGGTTGCTATTTTTGTACTTGGATGGCCAGACTGATATTTTCCTTGGAGGAACTTTGATGTTGCAGAAAAAAAGATGAAAATTTTCTGTGACTTTCATAAGCAGCCCTGTTCAGGTATCAACTAGTTTATGGGGCTGTCCCTAGCTCAGTAGTACTCAATCCTATGCCGAGAGCCTCAGCATTCTTAAATGGATGGTTTTCAGGCTG